ATGGAACTGGCGCTCTTGTCCTCAGATATCTGTGCAGCGAGAAGAGAGTTCTAGCCATAGATAAAAGATAGTCAGTAAGTATTTTATTACCCATATTACCCATTACCCATCGAACTTACTGAATAGGGCCTCCCATACAATATTTCAAAAGGCCTTAGTGCTCCTTTAGCCCGAGGAGTAATACAAATACACATCAAAGCTATGGGTAGAGTCTCTACTCACCTCAAATGTGTTTCCTGACATAGTTTTGCTATCTGTCTTTTTAATGTTTGGTTCATTCTTTCCACTTTCCCACTTGATTGAGGTCTCCGTGGGGTATGTAAATCCCACCGTATCTGAAGATACCTTGCAACTTCCCTTACTTTTTCTGCTATAAAATGGGGACCTCTATCTGAGTAGATGCTTTCAGGAACCCCAAATCTCAGTATTATTTCTTTCAAGAAGTTTTTAATCACTTCTCTATCCTTGTTGGTATGGCACGGGAAGGCTTCAGGCCACCCTGAAAAAGTATCCACCAATACCAAAAGATACTTATATCCATTACTTCTGGGTAATTCAGAAAAATAAATTTTCCAGTGTTCTCCAGGGTTGTGTCCTTGTTTTAGCTCTCCAGGTGGAGGCTTCCTTTCTATTTTAGGATTATTTCTGCAACAAATTTGGCACTGTTTAACAAGTCATTCTGCATATTGTTGCATTCTGGGTCCAACTGCATACCTTTTAACACTTGAGACTAATGCACCTGCTCCCATGTGGGTGCCCCTATGAGTTTGTTGCAATAACTCCTTCATGACTGGGGCCTTGACTATACACTGTCCATTCAGTGTTACTCACCATCCATCCTGTGTTTTATGGCAATTCAGAAGCTTATCCAGCTTTTCATTCTCTTTTCAAAACAAAACTGCCATCCGTAAACAGAATCCAGTCTGGACTTTCCAGAGGAGTATCTTTTAGATCCAGTCTACAGGAATATACCTGTTCAATACTCTGTAAACAATCATGGGTTAAGTTTTCATCACTAGAGATGGGCAACAATGAAGCAGGATTCAAGGCCGTAGAAGTTTTTAGCGTCACATCGTCCTGTTCAATTAACACAGCCTGGTATTGTACCATTCTGCTAGGGGATAACCAATGATGTAATATTGGAGTATTATACTCCAACTGACATTCTCACAGAAGTCCATGTTGTTACAAATTGGGACTAGAACCAGTGATAGACAATCTTGCTTCCCATTTCATGGGATACCATTTCCTTCTTACCGGCTTAGCGTTGGGTTTTAGTTCCACTTTTATCAGTGTGGCTGCTTTTGCTCTTCCTCATGTCTTGGTGGCCCATACTATAGGAATGACAGCGTCTAAAATCTCTTCTGGTACTTTAAGCTCTCGCCCATTTTTGTTCTGTAATAGACATAACTGAGCTTTCCAGGCATTATTTTTTTGGAATGTTTACTTGAATTGTATTTTTGGAAAAGGTTATTTGTGCCCCTAACTTATTCAGTAAATCTCGACCTAAGAGAGGTACCAAGCATTCAGGCATGTACAGAAATTCATGTGTTAAATTTGATCTCCAATTTTGCATTCCATTGGCCATAGGAAGGGTCTCACCTCCTGCTTTCCTGTGACCCCAACAACAGGCATAGAAAATTTACCTAAATGTCCCTTACAGCTGTAGTGAACAGATAGGTAGGTAAATTACAGAATAAATGGGTCCTCTATCAACTAAAAATTTTATAATCTCATTCGCCAGCTGAACTGGAACCAGGGGATCTGCTGCGGAAATTGTTAAATTCAACCCTGGTCCCCTTCATTCAGAGTCATAAGTCCCTATCAGTAACAAATCTGCCTCTGGCACTTGACCCCCCCCTTTGCTGGTGATTGTACTCCCTTCCGTTTTTTGGGACATTCTTTTTTCCAGTGTCCATCTTCTCTACAATATGCACATTGATTTATCCCAACAGGGCTATTGCTTAAAGGCCAGGGTGCATAACTTCGACCCCTTCCTCTTCTTGCCATTCTTCTACAGCCCCTTCCTCCCTCTCTTGGAGAGGCACTCACTATTGCAGCATCTAACAAGCTAGCTTGCATCTTTCTATATTTTTGTTTTCCCTTCTGTTTTTCTCTTTTTTCCACTTCCTCTCTATTATTATACACCTTATAAGCAATACTTATTAGCTATGCAATACTCATATCCTCCACACCATCCACCTTCTGTAACTTTTTCCAAATACCTGGTGCTGATTGCCCAATAAACAACATATTGTACATCGTTCTATTACTATCCTCCTTGGGATGCAAGTCTGTCCATCTCCTAGCTCTTTCACACAACCTTTCATAGAATGCTGAGGGATTTTCGTCACTTTCTTGTTTTACCCCATATAACAGATTTTTCTGTTTAGGAACCCCATGCTGTATCCCATACAAGATCGATTGTTGATATTGTTTAATCATTGCTCTCTCCATGCTGGTATTGGGGTCCCAATCTGGTTCCCTTTTTGGTGTAAATCAAGCCGGATCATCTCTTGCATTCTGTCTCTCATTTTCCTCGTTTGCTTTTTCCAATACCAGCTGTTTTTCTTCCAAAGTGAAAAGAGTATTCAACGATGTTTTTACATCTCCCCAAGTAGGATTACGATTTAACATAATTGTTTGTCCTAATCTATGCATATTTTCAGGGATATCCCTGTATGATCCTACTGCATCTATAAATTTACATTCCTTTCTAGTGTCATGATAATTTCGCCAGGAGAAAAACAGATCAACATATGGAACTTCATCCCACTTATCCATCCTCCAAAAAAACAACATTAATTGCAAAATAGCATTATAATTCAGTGTTCCATTTTCAGGCCATTTTTCTCCATCCTCTAACTTATACATTGGCCACCACTAACTACAGTACTTTTTCAATTTTTTTTCAGTCAGTGCATCCCCACCAAATTTTCCCCAATGTTTCAGGATGAATCCTAAAGGAGAACAAGGGGGCATTTCTGTAGAGGAGCCAGATCCTATAGTATTTTCTAGCAAATGCTTCATTCAGACCTTCAAACACTCAGCCACAATTAATGTCTATGTGTAAGAAGTATCCTACTGCAGTGGTCTTTCCATGGAGTAACTTATGCAGAGGTATTCAGACCATCAGAATACCAGAATTCAGATTGCTCCTCTATCAGATTTTTCCCTTTTTCACAATATCTCAATTTAGTATTGCACCTTTGTGTTGCTTACCACCCAGCAAGGAGATGAGCCGACGGAGTCCCCAAAAAACTGTTCAGTGTGCACTGGAGTCCAGTCGGTTCAGTACTCCCTGCTGGCTGCAGCAAGTCGATCCAGGCAAGGCTTTTTCAGTGCAATCCCATCTGGGTCGCCAAAACTGTTGTCCCAAATAGCGCTCATTTACCTGGTGTGCAATAAGCCAATCTTCACACACTGAGACAAGATATTGTTTTATTTCATTTCTGTGCAGAGATGGGTGCTAGGTGGTAATTCCACAAAGCTAGCACACCAAATCATCAAGTCAGCATCTATTTATACACATTCATTACCATACTTAATTCCCTAATACATACGCAGTGCTATGATTAGTTAAAATCTCTTTGCCTAGTATGTAAATTAGTGAGCATGCTCAGTTGTCCTTCAGTTTGAGTCTGGGGTGTAATCGTGGTAGGGGGCTCATGAGTTGGTAGTCGGGATCTCCCCCTGCCAGAATTACCTTTCCCCCTATTTCCTTCCTGGCAAATCTTAAGCAACTTCTCATGGTTCACTGATTAAGTCGGTAATACATCACCTAGACTTCTGCTCTTGGACAACCTGTTAACTAAACAAAAGCACATTGTATAACTTAGGGTCACCTAGACTTCTGCTCTCAGACAATCTGTTCACTAAACAAAAGCATAGGTAGGGTAGGGCCTTACAATGGACATCTATAGCAGCATCAGTTTTGGACAACAGTATGGAGTCAAAATATTTGTCTTCAAATACATGCAATATCTATATACAGAAAAGATATTTTAATTTTCTAGTGTGGATGGATTGATGGTAAGGAAGCAGATTGATTGAAGGAGCAGATTACTTTGGGGCTGTTGGTAGCCTTAGGATCTTATTTCCTGTCACTTCACCAAACTGCACAGAGCAACATGCTCTCTAATGATCATTTGACGTAATGAAACAGTAGTGATTTGACATCACTTGGGTTTATGCCTTCCCAGCTGCTACTTGGTTTCATCCATCTCTGACCAGTTTCTGCTGGTTGGGTCTAACAAAAATTAGTCCTAGTAAGCTTACTTCAGAATCTTTAAAAGAGCTTTGAAATAGTTTTTCAGTAACACAGCTAGCAATTTCAGAGTAGATGACAGCAGAGTATGATGGCAGCAAAGTTTACTGTCACTCATTTGAACTGATATGCCTAGTTTATTTACGGTTTTATCATGTGTGAGCAATGTGGTAATCCCAACTGCATGAAAATTAATTTTTGTGTTGTATTTCATCACTGAGTATTTTTCCTGTGCATGTATTAATTTTTTTTAATATAACAGTATTTTCAGTGTCTCAAGTTTACTCTTTTACTGGAACTAAAATTAAAATATGTAGAGCTTCATTGTCCAGGATAACTGAAAAGCATAATTTTAAAGAAAAATGGCTAATGAGGTTAGAATAACAAACTCAGGTTTTGTATCAAGTGTCATTTCCTAAGAGTAAGAATAATTCACGGTAAAATTATGCTACATAAATTGTGTCATGGAAAAGGCCTGTTACTTACACAATTTGTCTCTGTAGAATTTGTTGTTGAATACAGTCTGGCAATAGTTATTGTATACTGTAGAGAAAGTTGACAAGATGATCTAATAGTTTTTCTAACCTCTAGTATGGTCCTTTGCCTTGAAAAGGCAAGTTACACTATTTTTAGAAGTTAGCTGCTTTCATAGCTGCCAGCAGTCTTGACAGTGATTTCCATTACCATGTGATTTTTAAATTCTACAAATATGCATTTCTCTTTTGAATTTTAGATACCATTCCAGGGAGACAGTGCATGTCCTCCTGCTTCTTTCTTCTTAGACAATTTGGTAATGTCCTCATTTACCTCAACTCAGTCAAGGTTAGTATTACTATTTAGTATTGGTAGTACTCTAATGCATGGAATCACTACTTATTGAATTGGACTGTAATGTGTGAGACACTATGTAAACATGAAAGGATGTTTTTATGAAAGAAACACAACAGTAACAACAAAACACAAAAGGGAAGAGAGCAGCACAGCTGAGTCGAGACATGCTGAAAGAGCAAGAGGGAACTGCACAGGCAGTGGAAGCAGGGACAGGTATCCTGGGAAGAGTACAGGGACGCTGCCTGCTTGTGTAGGGATGGGAAGGAAGGCCAGGGCACAGCTGGAGCTGAATTTGGCAAGGGATGCAAAGAATAACAAGAAGGTCTTCTACAGGTATGTCAACCAGAAAAGGAAGGTTAAAGAAAGCGTACCCCCCCTGATGAATAAGAATGGCAACCTAGTATCAACAGATGAGAACAAGGCTGAGGTACTCAACAACTTTTTTGCCTCAGTCTTCACTGGCAACCTCTCTCCTCACCACTCCCAAATCAATGGACCAAAAGATGGGGACCAGGGGGGTAAAGCCCCTCCCACTGTAAGGGAAGAACAGGTTCGTGACTACCTGAGGAACCTGAACGTACATAAGTCTATGGCACCTGATGAGATGCATCCCAGAGTCCTGAGGGAACTGGCTGATGTAGTTGCCACGCCACTCCTCCATAATATTTGAAAAGTCATGGCAGTCAGGTGAAGTCCCTGCTGACTGGAAGAAGGGAAACACTGTGCCCATTTTTAAAAAGGGAAGAAAGGAGGACCCTGGGAACTACCGACCTGTCAGCCTCACCTCTGTGCCTGGGAAGATCATGGAACAGATCCTCCTAGAATCTATGCTAAAACACATAGAGGACAGGGAGGTGACACGAGACAGCCAGCACGGCTTCAGCAAGGGCAAGTCCTGCCTAAAACACATAGAGGACAGGGAGGTGACACGAGACAGCCAGCACGGCTTCAGCAAGGGCAAGTCCTGCCTGACCAACCTAGCGGCTTTCTATGAAGGAGTAACTGCATCAGTGGACAAGGGAAAAGCAATGGATGTCATCTATTTGGACTTCTGTAAAGCCTTCAACACAACATCCTTCTCTCTCTCTAAACTAGGAGATGCAGATTTGATGGGTGGACTGTTCGATGGATAAGGAATTGACTGGATGGTTGCATCCAGAGGGTAGTGGTCAATGGCTTGATGTCCAAATGGAGACCAGTGACAAGTGGTATCCTTCAGGGGTCCATACTGGGACTTGTGCTGTTTAATATCTTCATCAATGACATAGACAGTGGGATTGAGTGCACCCTCAGCAAGTTTGCAGATGACACCAAGCTGAGTGGTGCACTTGACATGCCTGAAGGATGGGATGCCATCCAGGGGCACCTGGACAAGCTTGAGAAGTGGGCCCATGTGAACCTCATGAAGGTCCAACAAGGCCAAGTGCAAAGTCCTACACCTGGGTTGGGGCAAGCCCTAGTGTCAATGCAGGCTGGGGGATGAAGGGATTGAGAGCAGCCCTGCGGAGAAGGACTTGGGGGTACTGGTAGATGAAAAGCTGGACATGAGCCAACAATGTGCGCTTGCAGCCCAGAAAGCCAGTTGTATCCTGGGCTGCATCGAAACAAATGTAACCAGCAGGTTGAGGGAGGTGATTCTGCCCCTCTGCTCTACTCTGCTCTGGTGAGACCTCACCTGGAGTACTGCGTCCGGCTCTGGAGCCCTCAGCACAAGAAGGACATGGAACTGTTGGAGCGGGTCCAGAGGAAGGCCACAGAAATGATCTAAGGGCTGGAGCACCTCTCCTATGAGGTCAGGCTGAGAGAGTTGGGGTTGTTCAGCCTGGAGAAGAGAAGGCTGCAGGGAGACCTCATTGCGGCCTTTCAGTACTTAAAGGGGGCCTATAGGAAGGATGGGGACAATCTTTTTAGCAAGGCCTGTTGTGACAGGACAAGGAATAATGGATTTAAACTAAAGAAGAATGTATTTAGAATGGATATAAGGAAGAAATTTTTTACAATGAGGGTGGTCAAGCACTGGAACAGGTTGCCCAGAGAGGTAGTGGAGGCCCCATCCCTAGAAACCTTCAAGGTCAGGTTGGACGGGGCTCTGAGCAACCTACTCTAGTTAAAGGTGTCCCTGCTCACTGCAGGGGGGTTGGGCTAGATGATCTCTAATGGTCCCTTCCAACCCAAAGGGTTCAATGATTCTATGAAACACAGGAACAACAGTGGGACATAAGTCGTCAATGTAGCAAATGGATCAAAATGTAAGGAAGCAGTTTAGATAGCATTGTGCAGCATGGTGCTTTTATCACACCTGCAATTTAACCATTATTTGGCTTTCTGGTGGCATTACAGAAGACAAGGAAGATAATTAAAGGAAGACAATGAAAAAATTTGCAGATATTTATGGGGTGGGCAGCATGGAGGAAAAACTTTTTTTTTTAACCACATCAAATGAGTGATGGAGATTATTGTCACTGGTTAATAATTGGGGACAACATTTTAATGAACAAGAGTGTGTAAGGAAGATAGGACATGAAGGACCTTGAAAAGTAATAAAGCTTATATTTTATAGGGAAAGCGGTCAATGAAGGGCTCAGACAGGGCAGTATTACCAAAGCAGCAGAATACTCAGTGTTATTTCGTAAGATGTAAGAGCCCATGCAGAGGGAAATACTGGTGAGGAATAGATCTAATATTTAAAAACTGTCAGGAGGGAGGCAGAAATAATGACAGGTACAGGTATGCAAGCCTTCAATCCTGCTATATTTGTGAACTAGACGAAGGAGCGTTCTTACCTTGTCAGATTTGGGAGAAAAGATTTTATTATGTGTGCTTAGGGGAGGGGAAGGGTTATTTCACTGCTTGTATGGATGTTTTGTTTTGTTTTAAAAACTCAGCTGTTCTGCTGAAAGTATGTAGAACTACCATTGCATATTATAACATATATATGTGGATCTCAGCTTGCAAGCTGGACTTCACAGATACATGCCTTTGGCATCAGTAACTGTATATCTGTTCTGATTTGACCCATATTTAGGCAAAGATAATAAATTTTTAAAAAATATTCCCTTGGTTTTCACAGTTGTAATGTGACTGCATTTATAAGGATGAAACAAAATATTATGCTAAGTAAAGAAAATTCAATATAAAAAAAGATTGATGCATTTCATTGCAGTGGTGTACTCTTATTTGACATACTGGGCATTCTCCCTCAACTGTGGAGAGAAAGGTGATTCAGAGAATAATTAGAAATTGAAATATTGTCTTAAGAGATTTAGAAGATAGATATTATTTGCTGTAGAGGGAAGTTAAGAAAATAAAAAGATACAAAATGAAGATTAGGATAAACACGGTAGATTTGAAACCTCCGTTTCTATTAGGAGAGGCTGAAAACAAGATACAGCTTGCTGGAATTGCAGCAAATTCACCATGACTTTTCTGAGAAAATGCATTTTGTCCCTCTCAACACAGCTGGTTTATGGGACTCATTGTCGTAGTTCAAGGTAGGGATGAGGTTGCAAATTTGGAAGGTTTTATAGATTGTATCTAGCAAGTTGCAAAATGATCACGCTTAAGTAAAATATGTATTTGTTAAATTCTTGAAGGGAATCATAAATACCTGTACTTTGAGACATAATGCAGTTGATAAATAGCAAGGGACAAAGTTTTCTGCCTACCACCACTTTCTTTGCATGGTCCTTTTGAAGTAGTTGGTACTTATTATTTTCTAGCTGAGACTAGCCACTGCTCAGATTTACTTAGGTCATTCCCCTCCTCTTCAGGTCACAGGGTTGCAAATAATTCTTCCTGTACCATTTTACAGGCAAGGTTTAGGTGGCTTTATAGTCACCTTTGTGTTGCATTTACAGGAACCAACTTGAGTAGAATCTCTGCAGCTCTTTAAGTGGAGCTGTGCACTCTGTGAAGACTATTTGCATGATATTCACTCAGGAAACACCACCTTCATCCATGATTGATTAAAACTGCTGTAGGCATGAGAATATCTCAAAGGACACCTTATTATAAATGTATTGCCAGCTGCCCTGAGGGTGACATTATAACACTGAGCATCAACTGAGAAGACAAGCTAATTCAGGCTCAGCTGAGTTCTGACCACAAGGAATGCTTCATTGTTCAACTGGGTTATCTGAGCATCTCATTGAAATGGACATCACTCAGAGCACAGTTAGTTTTATGCAAAGATTGAAGACCACTAAAAAGACCACAAAAGAGTGAAGTTCAGTACATATAATGTGGTTTTAAAAAAAAAAAAACCCACAACATTCAGCTGCTGTGAATGTATTGCACTATCAGTAGCACTAGTTCATTTTTACTGGTTTTGGTTTTGCAGCAAGTCTGGTCTCTAGCACTAATACAGCAAGGATAGAATGACACAGTTTTTGAGTTTGGCTGCTGACAGAGTTTCTTTTTTGTTTTAATTCAAATATACAATGGGGGCTATTTGAACAGAAGGAACTATTCATGCAGTAAAACCAGCATCTTGCTCACCAGCTTTGCTTAACCTGGGACTTGTGCTGATTCACACGAAACTATAATTGAGGAAGAATACAGTAAAGTGTTGTAATTCTCCTATGGTGAAACCAGTTATTTCACCCTAAGGGTACTGAAATGTTTTCACAAACTGAGCTTGAGATTCATCTGATTGGCTGATCCTCATGCTTTCACATAGCTTGCTATATTCACCGGCTCTTTTGGACCCTAACATAGACTATTTGGGTGAAACCTAGACATCTGGCAAATGGTAGCCACCCCCCACCTCTCCTCTCCAGGCACTGGCTTGATGTAGGTGGGTGAACTGGGTCAGTAGCCTTTGTTGACTACCTGTGACAGGGAAGGGAAGAGGTTCCTCAAGTGTCCCTACGTAATGAAATAAGATACAGAGCACTGGGAAAGGGTTTTCTCCCTTGCTTCCCATGTCTTTTGTACAGTCCCAGTTGTGCTTTTTACCTCCTCCTCACTCATTAATGAGGGAACAAAAGAAAAGTTTGGTCTTCCTACACAAGTTCTGTTTCTTTTATAGATGTTATATAAGGAAAAACATTTCTCTTCCACACACAGGAAAGCTTTTCTTGCAGTAACTGTGGTGGAGAAACCACCCTGCTTTTTTCCCATGCTCTTTCACAAGCGCTGCACCTCTGCTCAGTGGGGATCCTCAATCCCATTCATGCTTGTAGCTGTGGTATTGTGTTCCACCTTACCTCTACCAGGTCTACTGATACAGCAGTGTGGGACAGTGCTGAATGTATAACACACTCAGCTGACTTTTAGTCATCAGTTATACTTAAATCTGGACATCTGACCATGATCAAATCTAAGCTGTCTGGGTCAAACCCAAACATCAGGCTAATCTGTACCTAGAGTTGTACTTCCTGCTTTGGCCCATGCAGCTTTTCAGAAAAGACACAGCTAGATCAACCTGATCTGTCATTAACCAAGTGTGTGCAGTCTAATATTATGGGAGAGAAAAACTTAATGTTGCACTTCAAATAGAGAGAAGGGTGCCTATAAGCAAGGCTTGAGCTTGAGGAAGTCCTATTACACTGTGCTGCCTGGTTACAGCCTGATACTGCAGCTCCACCTCCATCATGTAATCCAGTGTGTCAGACTAGCATCTGTCACATAACCAGATCCACAGGATCTCTTGTTGAACCTTGAGAAGTCTTGAAAAAACAAACCGTTCATCTCCTTAAGCCATTAGGGAGTCAACTGCCTATTTACCACCCTAGTGGTGAAATAAGTGTTTGGGAGGTGAAAGAGACCATGGCAGCACAGCATGTCTTCACATGCCCAAAGTGAAAATTACACCCATAAAAGCTGCCACTGCAATTTTGAGCTTGGAGCATTCTCCAGATCTCTCATGGTTAATACTGTGGAATGTTCCAGCTGTTTTTGTAGTCACGAATGTAGGATGGAAAGCCAGTCCATAATTTTCTACCCACTGTTTATAAATGCCGTATGTTCATAATGTGGGTTTTTCTTTTTCCTTCCTGTTGTCTTGATATAGTCTGACTCAGATTGGAGGGTGGGGGGCGGTATTTTTAATGATTTTTAATGTTGTTCTACCATTAGGGAGGAGGGTTTTTTTGGTTTATTTATTTGGGGTTGTCTGTGTGACTTATTTTCCAGAGTTACTTCTACAACGATGACACTTTTAACTTCAACTACGCCCAAGCCAAAGCTGCCATGGGCAATTTTAGTGAGGCTGAAGAGGTATGTATTTACTTTCTTTAAAAAACAACAATGGAAACATTTCCCACATACTCCCCTCTTTCTTTCCCTTTCTCCCTCCAGATCTTCATGTTGGTTGAAAATAAGCAGGTTGTGGAACGTCATCTCCCCCTTCTTAGAGGAACTGAAACGCTCAGTGAACACTATTCAGAAAAGATTATCTTGCTAATCTTGTAATGTGAAGTATATGGGGAGTCATGCTGCTTGCGGTGCATCACAAGAGTGCTTGCAGCTATCTCTAATTGATCAAAGAATGCCCTCTTAATCAGATTTCCTACACTTTGGGATCCCAGGCAGTCTTATTGTTCAGACTGACTAGGGCATGCTGAGTAAAAGACACTGAATAGTAAGGAGATTCTAGGTGTCCCTAGAAATTTGTGTTTAAAAAAAAAAAAATTTCTTCCTCTGAGAGATGTGGAAGGAAAAGAGGAAGCGCTTACTATCTTATTCAGCAGCATCCAGATGCAGCTGGAAGAGATTAGCTTCTACACACAGCATTTTTTGTGTCTATGTGCAGTAGAAACTTAATTACAACTAAAATATGCAAATGCAAATATCTATTATGAAGATGGAAGCAACATCTTCCACAAGACCAGAAAGAAGACAAGCCAGAAAAAAAAAAAACCAAAACACAAAACCAACCACGTAGTCCAAAGTGAATCATATAGGTTTGGTTGATTTGTTTTTGTTTGTTTGTTTTTTCCTGTCTTTCTAACTTTTTAACTCTTCAGGTTTCTTGAAAACAGAGCCCCCCTGGGTTTTTTTTCTTTTTTTTCTTCCCCCTCCCCCCCCCAGCACCCAGCCCCTTAATTTCCGTGACCTGAAATTGCATCTCTCTTTAAGAAACATATCCAAGACTGTCAGGCACAATGGATATATATTTCAATTCACCTACCTTAATTTAGTTATCTTAATGAAAATGCAGGTAGGTATCTTAAAACTATGCTAGCAGGCTGTGCTGATAAAAATTATAATGCTATAAGTAAGCTTTAGCTACAGCCAGGCAATAAAGAAACGCAAAGGTGTAAACTGCTGTTAATCCACATTTTTCCTCTTATGTTCTTACAAATGATTCTATATAACCTTGTGTTACATAGCTGATGCATTTAAATTACAGGATTATGTAATTAAATTGATTAGTCTGTACTACTGCCTGATTGTTGTCCCAAATAGGGCTCATTTACCTGGTATGCAATAAGCCAATCTTCACACACTGAGACAAGATATTGTTTATTCACGAAGTTGTGCAAGTTTGGGTACTAGGTGGCTTTCCACAAAGCCAGCACACCAATCATCAAGTCAACATCTATTTATACACATTCATTACCATACTTAATTCCCTAATACATATGCAGTGCTATGATTGGTTAAAATCTCTTTGCCTAGTATGTAAATTAGTGAGCATGCTCAGTTGTCCTTCAGTTTGAGTCTGGGGTGTAATCGTGGTAGGGGGCTCATGAGTTGGTAGTCGGGATCTCCCCCTGCCAGAATTACCTTTCCCCCTATTTCCTTCCTGGCAAATCTTAAGCAACTTCTCATGGTTCACTGATCAAGTCGGTAATACATCACCTCGACTTCTGCTCTCGGACAATCTGTTCACTGAACAAAAGCATAGTTAGGGTAGGGCTTTACAATGGACATCTATAGCAGCATCAGTTTTGGACAACAGGATCTTTGCCTGTGATGACACTTTTCATATAAAGATCACCCTTCCCCAGTGTCTCATAAACTTGTAAAATATCTCCACATATAGCACTTATTAACTTGTTAAAAAGCTCACCTCCCTGGACATAATGAAATAAAACCTATGATAAAGTGCTACGGATACTGATAATGCTGCACTTTTTTTTTTTTTATTATTTCTTCCCTACCCCCAAAATTAGGGTGTCAGCAATGTTTAGCCAATAAAATGTCAGTAATTTGTGGAACTCACTGTTCCAGTACGTACATCTGCTACTCTACAGGTATTTTGAGTTTTGCCAGTAGCATCTTAGTATAGTAACAAATATACCTGCAGAGAGGCATAAATAGCTTTTTTTTTTTCCTGTGAGTAAAGCCAGAGTACATTTTAAAATTTATACCTTCCCCCCACACATCCCTTAAGATGTAGAATGTAATAAGCCTGTATTTGTACAGTAAGTTACAAAAGATGAATGTTTTGCCTCGGAACCTTAGTGAAACCAAAGTGGTTAGAAAATGGCTTATTGCTGACCTGGAATGATCTCTGACATGTATGGGGAGGAAAGGTTCATACATATGTGAAACTTCTGGTATTTCAAGAAGATGCTAATGTAATTGCTTGCATTGCTTTCTACACAAACACATTCCAAATAGCTTTTCCCACAGGCCCAGCGTTCCTTTGTGCTGTTTGTGTTGCATGGCCGCCCACTGGCACTTGTTCAGAGCAGGCCGCACCCTCTGCACAACTTGGTGTTTTGCAGCTGCAGAAGTCCCTTGATAAGCACAGCACTGTTTGAATCCTCCAGCTACCTGACACAGAGAGATGCCCCAGCACTGCACTTGCATACCGTAACTGTTCTCATGAAGCAGTTGTTTGTGTGGCTTAAGCTTTAGCTGCATGTTGAAACGAGGCAGGTCTGCTTTTTGTTTGTTTAAAAGTACCTGCATGTATAATCTTTTATTTTCCTTCTTCCTGCAGGTGTTCCTTTTGATCCAGAGTGAGAAGATAAAGAATGATTTTGTTTACCTTAGCTGGCTAGCTCGCTGCTGTGAGTCACTTTACCCTCAACATTGCAGAATACAGATCTTCCCCTATTGCATCAGTCTTGGCAATCCACTTTCTTAATTGAATTTCATGTTGTAGGTGGATTCAGGACTGTGAAAGTGAAAAGCTGATTGCACTAGTTATAGCATGGGTGGTTATTGCACCTTTCATACATCTGGCTTTAGCAAGCAATTACTGCTTCAGTGCAGCGCTATTATAGTTTCATCAATGCAGCTCTGTCCTAACCAGTGAACCTTTTTCTTCTCAATTGTCTACTCAATTACTTGAGTGAAGATTTTCTGTCTTAAAAGACTGAGTTACAACTCTAAAATGTTCAGAGTAAAACATAAAATAGAAGCATCCATACTGGGTCAGGCCCAAGGGTCTATCTAACTCCAAGAGAAGCCAATGTCAGATGTCTAGGGAAGAGCAGAATCAGGCAAGCACATGTGTTATTTTTCTTCCTACCACGTTACTCTTCATGTTGTGCAAATTCCTGTGCCTGAGGGATGTCACTTATAATCTCCATCATGTTTTTTTCTTTCATAAACTTTTCCATTCTTCCCTTGAAACCGGAAAATTTTTGCTATAGCAAATTTTATTTAATATTTCTGAGTCAGTTTTTAAAACATTGCAGAGTACACCTTAGTACAGATACAGCTGCAGCACCATATGCAAAATAGTATAGAGGTGGGCTTTTCTGATCACTCAAGTCTGAGACCTCCCTAGGCTAATTTGTTTTCCTGACAGTGCCTCAATACAAAAATATTCTCTTATCATACAATTTTCAGTAGTTGTACTTGGAATGTAAATACATTTGGTTTGGGACATTATGCCATATCACAGATGTGGTCAACATCTCTAATGTGATCTTTCCAGACAGGCATATTACACCTATGGGTACCTATCTATGAGTCTCTTCTAGGACATGCCAGTTTATTTGCTTTTTCATTAAGCTGCAGTAACTGGTTGTGTTTGAGTGTTTTATATGTGAAAGTTTTATGTGAATTTTTTTGATGGGAGAACTCCTGTTGCAAAAGGAGATCATGGTTGTTCAGTAGACAGTGTTCATCCCTTTGATTCTGTGCTATAGTAGTTCTTTGACATACATCTGGGGACGCAGAACATTTTGAAGGTGCTACTTATTATACAAGAAGTAGAATCAACACCATGTTTTCAAATTTTTTCTAGCTCTTTCATAAGAGTTGCTATTTATTCTTGAGCGTGCCTTTTGCCATTCTGAATTCCTGCT